CTCTTCTCAAAGCACTGTAGAAAGAAATGGTTGGCTACTTTTTAAAATGAAGAAGTAAATTCTGAAATGGTCAAAACTGCACCTCAGTTTTATGATTCAAGGCAAACACATGCAGAAGCATATAGGATAAAAATTCTATAGAGTTTACAAAATGTCTAAAAAACTGAAAAAGCACACTTTAAAAATTCAGCCTTTTGGGCCCTCCCTGGTAGCGCAGCGGGTTAAAGCACAGCACTAAGAAACTAAAGCCACTTCCGCATGAGTTCGATTCCCGCCCTGGAGGTGGCCCCCATGGCGGAGCAGACCTCTCCTGACCCGCCCGCGGCTCCCCTCAGCAGTGGACTTTGTTGCTCCCCACTCTGTCCCTGTCCCTGAATCCTCTCATCCTCCGCATCTCTGCCTGTACCATAGTTTTGTGTGCATAAATAAATAAATCTTTAAAAAAAAAAATTAAGCCTTTTTTTGAAAATATTTCCACACTAGGCCAACCAAGACTCTCAACAGTGCAGCCTGGTGTCAAACCGTCAGATGCCCACTGGCACTGCCACGTGCTGTCACAGTGAGGGTGGCTTGGAGCACAGAATCCGGAAGAAACTGCAAATGTCTGCAAGCATTTTGATGCACAGCAATAATCCACAGTGGAAGTTCAAAACTTTCCCCTGACGCAGGAAACTGAAGGGCTTAGAGTGATTTAACAGAGGATCTCTGAGATCACAGCAGTTCGTACATTTGCTAAAAACAAACACAAATATGGGCCACCTAGGACTGATTCAGGGTCCTGAAAAGTCCAGAATGTGTTGCCAATGAAGACACATAATAAAAGCCCCCAAAAGGCAGCAACACGAACTGCCTGCAAGTGTAAGAAAACCTTCAGGTTTAACAGCAAGCATCCTTCGGCAATAAGGGCTGGAGAAAAGGTCCAGCTGCTTGTACTTTCACACTGTTCCTGGAGAAGCTATTCAAACTGCTGTCACAAGCACAAGCTGGGCAAACCAGGGGAGCAGAGCAGGCTGCGGCACGCAATAATCGCGCCTGCCTCGCTCGTGAAGAGACGTGGGGAGCCAGCGTGTGGCACAGGCCATCTGTGACGTGGCCGGGCTGGCTGAGGAAGGCAAGCTGCGACGGCACCTCGGAGCCTTCTCTCATCTGGCCATGGGCTGGACTTGCAGACAGCGCAAAGTAACTGTGTGTCCTATATGATGCCGTAAAACAGGGTGACCCATGCAAAGATCAGCGACTGTGGTATAAATGCAAAGGAGAAAGAACAGCTCAATAACTCAACTTACTACAGCCCACAAGCAGGGTCCAATTTACCACAGAAGAAAATTACATTCTGATCACTTTGGTGTTCCAATATTCAAAAATTTCTTTAAATATTTCCATACCAGTATCCCTCTTTATTTTGATAGTGATGTACTTTGCTAAAAACCGTATTTTTAATTTAGAACAGTTTTGTTTACAGAAAGCTGGCGAGACAGCAGTGAAGCTCCTCTGTCCCCAACCTGGTCTGCGCACAGCCCAGACCCCGCATGATCCCTGCGCTCCCCCACCCAGGGCAGACCTGACTGAGGGGTGGGCCTGACGAAGCCACAGAAAACCACACTACCACCTCACAAACACCTCAGCTACCACTTTTTTTTTAAAGAAAAAAAGTCTTAATTCTTTCCTTTAGGAAGTATCTTAAACTTAGATTTCGGACGATGACTCCTTTCAAAAAAAATTTTTTTAAAGATTTATTTATGCTTGCAGAACGGGGTACAGGCCAGAGGTGTAGGCAGTGAGAGAGGCTTCACCAGAGACAGAGCGGGGAGCAGAAAAGGCAGACTGACAAAGTCCACTGCTGAGGGGAGCAGTGGGCGGGTCAGGAGAGGTCTGCTGTGCCCTGTGGGTCAGCTCCGGGGTGGGGATGGAACTCATGCGCAAGTGGCCTTGGAGAGCTTCACAATGTGGTGCTTTAAGCCACTGTGCTACCAGGGAGGGCCCCTCAATTTTTTTTAATTGTGCCCTTCAGCCAGATTTTCCAACTATTAACATTCTGCCATATCTCCTTTCTCTTTCTCTGCGAACAGGCAGTTGTTTTAGGCATTGAGAGTAAAGTGGCTGCCGTGACGCCACTTAACCCTTCAACCGCACCTCTCAGGAACAAGAGATTCACAGCCATGGAAAACGGTCAAAATCAGGAGACAGAACATGGACATAATATTACCTAATTTAGAGACCTCACTCAAATTTCTCCTGTTAGGCTAAAATGCCATGTCTCTTTTCAACTTCTTTTGCCTAGGTCCACAGTACACAAATATTTTTCAAAAATAATGACCTAGAAGGTCTTCCAAGGAAAAGCAAGACAACTATTCATCACTGCACGAAGATAAAGGCTTCCTTTCTAGGGTCAAAGTCAAAAGCATCTTTCCTTGTAACTCAGCTCTCAATAAACACGCAATTTTCTTGGCTGGCCAAAACTCAGGGAACAAAAGCTCTCTCTTCTTGGTTATGAAGGACAATAGGTTAATTTACAGAAATTTGGACGAGACTCTTGAGCTCCCAGAAATATCTTGGAAGAAGTTATATGAAAAGTCTAAAATTCTTATAAATTTGTTTATCATCTGTTTTTATTTTGGCAAAAGTGAATCAATAACTTAAAAATTCAAATTCCAAAAAAAGTACTTAGGAGTTAAGAGTCAAGCTAGCATCAAAACAGCTGCATCCTAGTAATTGTTTGAACTGAATGAATCTACTGGGCCTTCACATAAGATTATTCTTGGTTGGCAGTCTGCCATATTACATAACTTCGAATATTGCTCCAACACACAGAAAAGCGGCATCTTTCTCCAACAATGCTGTGATAACATCTAAACTATCACAGCATCACTGCATGAACTAAAAACCCATTTAAATATCTTTCCAGTCACCTTAGACCTAAAACAGCATACAGCTCTTTTTCTACAAGTGGGGGAGGGTAAAGCATTAAAAAATGGCAAAATAGCATGATGCTTCCGCTTAAACCATTAGCCATCCATCCATATCTCTGGCTTTAGGAGAATGTATGTATGTATCAAAGTATTAACATTAAGTCATCTCTGGCTGATAATGTGAGGAATTTTATTCTTTCTGTTTTAAACATGTGTAACATATCCATTTAAAAGTTTTTTGAAGCTTTAGGGCTTCACAATGAAAGCAGCAAAACTATCACAAAGTAAAAATAGAGGGAAGTGAAGGGTGGGCCAAGGGGTCAAAGGCAGGAGCTTCCAGTCACAAGCCAAGTGAGCGCCGGTGTTCCCCAAGCAGGGCGGCTCTAGTCTGAAACAGGCGCCCTGCGAAGCTGCTGACTTCCAAAGGGCTCTGAAGAGCTCTCACCACAGGAAAAAGTCTCCATAACGACATGCGGTGATGGGTGTCAGGGGGCTGGAGGTGAGGCGACCCTGCGCGCCATCATGGTGCCGCACACCTGAGAATAGCCTCTCGCTGCATCAATGATGCCTCAGTCAAAAGACAGAAACAAAGAAGGAAAAGTGAGGCTATTTTTATAAATAATGAAAGCGATAAAGGCAGAAACAGTTCATTACACAAGGAAGAAGTCGAATTTGAGAGGGCCAATTCATGATCTGCTGTGGACAGTGATAAAGACAATTTATCAGACGCTCACCCTTGCCAAAAACAAGATGACAGAATGTTGGGGTCGGCAAAGGCTCAGAGACGTGACTAAGTGTGACAGCCCGCCCTTCTCCATAGGATGCCTGATCACTGCAGAAATAAAAACTAGACCGGAGTTTTTAAAAGACCACTCATCTCTGACACAGGTGACTCTACTGCAACCACCCATTCGGCTTCCACAGGCCCTTCCCACGCCGAGCTCCTGTCCCGGCGTCCACGGTGGCGCAGGCCCCTCCCCGAGTGGCCGTCCCCTAGCCGCTGAGGTGTGCAGCCCTGAGCAGCGCCGCCGCGGGCTGCCACAGCAGCTGACTTCCTCCGGCGAGGCGCTGGCAGTGACTCAGAGGCAACAAGCCCAACTGTGCTCAGATGACGCGAGAGGTCGGGTTCTTTAGAGACCAAGGGCCTGCCAGGGAGAGCTGCGCCCCACGCCAAGCAGGAGGAGGAAGAGCCCTGGGGAGGCGGCAGCTCCCCAAAAGAAACTGCACAGCCTGGTAGTTATGGCGCAGACACACAAGAGAACTGAGCCCGTCTAGAAGCAGCACGAATGAGAGACGGGCATGGGCAGCGGCGACGGCACAGAGCCGAAGGCCGCGGCTTGACACGGCCAGGGACAGCAGTCACCCTTACATGACACGGCGAGGGACAGCAGTCACCCTTACATGAGGCCTTGTCCAGAGATGCACCATCTTTTAAAGGTGAGTGCTAACAACTGCTAGACCTGGAGCTTCCAGATGATCCAGCAACTCTACTCTCAGTATCTAGCCAAGGGACACAGAAAACAATGCCCCAAACAGATGACCCACAAGCTGTGGTCCATGTACACAGAGAGTATTACTCAGCAATCACCAAGGATAAACTCACGCCATTTGCAGCAACATGGATGGCTGGAAGGGATCATACTCAGTGAAATAAGCCAGAAAGAAAAGGAAACACACCAGATGGTTTCACTCATAGCAGAAATGTAAGGGAGGAAAAAAAAAAGTTATTGTAATAAAGTAAAAACTAAAATCAACAGCTATAAACCAGAGACATTCAGGGGCGGGGGGGGGGCAGGATCAAAACTGGGGCGGGAAGAGCACACGGGACTGTGGTGATGGCAAGAGGGTGAAGTGGTGGTGGGAAGTCCATGGGGAATACAACTGAGGTAGAAAATGTACAAAAGGAAGAATGATCTAAAAAATGTGTTAAAACATTTAGAAATATAACTCATCTCCAAATCTCTCACCTTTGGGGCATTCCCATCCAGCCCACTTACTCATCCAGCCTTTTTACTCTCCTGTGAACTTCTCTGCTCACCCTACAATTTAAAATAAGATTTAAAATTTAGTCAGCTACGACAAGTTTCTTACCTATTGCATGACTCTGACTCTGGTGAGGAGAGCGCGTCTTCTTGAACGTCGGTACAACTGGAAGAATCATCTGGCCTCTCAGGCCCCACCTTCCCAGGGGAGTCCAGCTTTGACTGAGGGCAGCAGCTGGTAACTGAGGGCGTCCCTGAGAATTTCATTTTATCTTCCGGTCCTGATAAGGAAAAAAAAGAAAAAAGGAAAACATTTAAGCATACCTTAACATCTACCACCTCCTGTTGATTACTTCCACAATAATTAATATTGTTATTTGTACAAAGTAAAACAGAAGTTTGTGTAACACTGGTCCCAAAGCTCTAGAAGCAACCAGAGCTCAAGAATCAGCATTGCCGCCCTCCCTGGTGGTGCAGCGGACTAAAGCGCAGCACTGCAAGGTGGCTGTCGCCGCTTCAGTGGGGTTCAATCTCCTGCCCCGGAGGTGACCACATGGAGCGGCAGACCTCTCCTGACCCGCCCGCTGCTCCCCTCAGCAGTGGACTTCGTCGATCTGCCTGTTCTGCTCCCCACTGTCTCTGGTGAAGCCTCTCACCCCCTGCACCTCTGGCCTGTCCCCCAGTTCTTTATGCACAAATAAACCTTAAAAAAAAAAAAAGAAGAATCAGCATTTTAAAAACGCCATCTAATTATATCTTCAACTGCATGTATTTCCAAATTAATTAACTTAAGAACAAGGTTTCCTTGAAAGCCAGGAGAGGGAAAGACCTCAGAATTCTCATTAGGCTTCCAGTCACAGGGTTACTAAGGAATTCCCACATACTTCACAGTCCAGAGAAGGCCGATAAACACGAGCAGCGCAGCAAGGACGGACTGAGGACCCAATGACACAACCGCTACTTGGTAGTACTATCTGGACAGTTTCTAAAACGAATCTAATTAAATATAATCCAATATCCACGGCAGAAAAGGAAACCTAATCAGACACAGCCAGTGTTTGCACGTGATTCCATTCATCACGTCTCTCTGCATCCCGCCCCACGCCCGCATTCTCTGATGTCTCTTACTGCAGATGAGCCACGGGTCTACAAGAGCGGCACGCAGGCAGGACTGGCGCTCGCGAGGAGGAGCGCAGACAGTGTCTGCGAAGGGCTGCTCGGCGCCCCGGGCTCCCCCCTAGATGTGATGCTTCAGCGCCCTGTGCTGTCCTGAAGACTCGGAGCTGAGCGAGTACCTCAATGCGGCCCACATGTGCTCTGAGCACAGGACCCCATCCGTGAGTCTCCACAGAGGAGCGGAGCGGCCTGCACACTTCACCCTACTAAATTAAGAACAGAACTTTCTAATCCAGAAAACAGATGGTCTCTGCAAACCTACTGTAAAAAATGATCAAGGTTTTGTCTGGGAAAAGTATAGGACAACTCCTTAAAAAAATTAAAAACCTTTCTGAATCAGTATTCCTAAGATTTTTCCAGAAAAAAAAATTGATCTTGTTGGAGAACAGCATATGTCACAAGAGTAGAGTATCTAAAACTGAGGTTTTGATAAGTCTACTCATTACCAAACTTGGACCCTCTATGTTGATCTGGAATAGGGAAAAGCAGCCAACCAAGATGGCCACCGGTTCCTCCAGGACTCTCTCTCATAAACACAGACCCAAGATCACACAAAGGGACCGATCTAAATTGTCCACAAAGATCATGAGGAATGTACTTAGAAACTTACTAAATGACACCAGAAAAAAATTTGGATAAAAATAAGGAAGGCAGTAACACCTGAGAAATAACATACTTAGGACTAAATCTAACCAAGGCAGGAGAGAGATTTATACAGTGAAAAATACAAAATATCACTGAAGAAATTAAAGACATGAACAAAGGAGACCCCATGTTCGTGGTCGTAAGGTTTACTGCTGTGAAGGCAGCCAAGGAAGCAAAGCAGCCTGCGGAGCAACAAGTCTCACGGGGATTTCCTGCAGAAACAGAAAAATCCACTCCAAACTCATTTGGAATCTCAAGGGATCCAAACAGCCAAAACAATCTTGAAAAAGGAGAATGAAAAGTGAAAGATTCATACTTTCCAACTTCACAAGTTACTACAATGCTACCGTCATTAAAACAGCATGTACAAGCCCTCCCTGGTGGCGCAGCGGGTTAAAGCACAACACTGAGAGACTAAAGCCACTTCCACATGAGTTCGATTCCCGCCTGCCCCGGAGGTGACCACATGGTGTGGCAGACCTCTCCTGACCCGCCCGCTGCTCCCCTCAGCAGTGGACTTTGTAGATCTGTCTGTTCTGCTCCCCACTCTGTCTCTGGTGAAGCCTCTCACCGCCCCTGAGCCTCTGGCCTGTACCCCAGTTCTGTATGAACAAATAAATAAATCTTTAAAAAAAAAAAAAAACAGCATGTACAGTCTGAAGACCAGACATACAGAGCAATGAGACAACACAGAAATAAACCTCACATACATGGTCAACTGATTTTCAGAAAGGATGTTAAGACCCTCAATGCAAGGGCTCCCTGGCGGCCTAGGGATTCAGTGTTAGATTATCACCTCTATGGCTAAGTTTGATCCCTGGGCAGGGAGCTGACCCAAATATGGCACAGCAGACCTCTCCTGTCTCGCCCGCTGCTCCCCTCAGCTGTTTATTTCAGTAAATCCTCCTGTTCTGCTCCTCACTCTATGTCTGGTGAATTCTCTCTTACCTCCCCACCCCCAACCCCCCGGCACCATTGGCCTATACCACAGTTCTTCTTTGCAAAAAAAAGCCACTCAATGGAGATAAACATAGTCTTTATCTGGCCCTCCCTAGTGGCGCAGCGGGTTAAAGCACAGCACTGAGAAGCTAAAGCCACTTCCACATGAGTTCGATTCCCGCCTGCCCCGGAGGAGACCACATGGCGCGGCAGACCTCTCCTGGCCCGCCCACTGCTCCCCTCAGCAGTGTACTTCGTCCATCTGCCTGTTCTGCTCCCCACTCTGTCTCTGGGGAAGCCTCTCGCCGCCCCTGAGCCTCTGGCCTGTACCCAGTTCTGTATGCACAAATCAATAAATCTTAAAAAAAAAAAGAAAAGATACTATCAAGAAAGCAAGACAGCCTAGGACATGTTCCCAAATATTTGCAAATCACATATAACAAAAGGGGTTGATATATAGAATATAGAAAGAATTCCCAAAGCCCAACAACAAAAAACCAAACAATTAAAAAAGAACAGATATTCCTCTAAAAAAGGGAAGCAAAAACACATAGAAAGATGTTTATCATCTTTAGTGGTTACAAACAGCCAATCAAGACCACCGTGAGATACCGGGGTTACCGGAAAACAAAAGCCCAATTGCAAGCGCGGCAAGGACGCAGACAAAGTGGGGTCCCCCTGCACTGCCCACGGGGATGTAAAGTGGTGCAGGCACTGAGAAAAAGTGTGGGGTGTCTCACAAGGTCAGACACACTGGTGTTACCGGCGGAACCAGAACTTCTACCCCCGGTTTATATCAAAAGAACCACGAGCAGAGCCTGGTGCAGATGAAGGAACCCCAGTGTGCACGACAGCAGCATTCACAAACAGTGAAGACACCCCGAAACAGACAAGCAAAGTGTGGCCCATGCGTACGCTGGGGTGTTACTGAACCAGAAAAAGCAGCGAAGTCTCGCTACCCGCACAGCGAAGGGCCCCTGGAAACTAGGCCTATGGAAGTGAGCTGCTCCGGGACAGACTTGCTGAGCTACGTGGCTGGGTTACCCAAGTCCAATAAGCAAGCTCACAGGCCCAGAAAGAAAACCAGAGTCCCAGGGGCTGGTGAGAAGAAGAGCTATAATTTAATGGGGGCACAAATATTGCTGGAGATGAAAACATTTGGGGTACAGAGAGTGGTGATGACACTGTCATGCACTTAATGCCAGCAGACAGTGCAGTCAGGAACGGTTAAAGTGACGAATGTTATGTCAGGGTATTTTACCAATAAAGAAGAAAGCAAAGAGGAACTTTCTTGTGTACTCTCATCCGTTATGATTGTTTTGTTCACTGGCTCAAAGCCCTGGCAAAAGATAAGTATTAATCTTGAATTTGAAAATGGGTCAAAATGAAGCTCTCTGCCTCGTACTGCCACACCGAGTGTATTAGATCATTGTGCAGAACGTCCGTCCAAAGCGAGTGTAGTGTCCAACAGCAAAAACAATTCATTCCCTTTGCAGATTATCTCGGGCTTTGTACAATAAATCCTACACTTCAAAAGCATCGTCAGCTTAAACAGCGAAGTAATGTCTGATTTACCGTGAGCTGAGGGAAGACAGATTCCAGAAGGCGCCCCTCTGGGCCGTCCTCCCGCTCCTTGATCCAGAGTCCGAGTCAGTTTCCCATCACCACTGCTGTGTGTCCACTCACGAGGTCAGGGTAAATTCCCTGCGTTTTACTTTCGTCCCACAGTAAAATAAGGAGACTCAGCCTATTGCTGTTACTTCGTCTCTTACCCATAAACACAGACACCTGCTTCTCCGGAGTTTCCTCCTCTTCTTTTATTACTCTGGTTTTTGACATTCCAGCAGTTTTCTTGTATCCTTTTTTGGCCTGATCTACCAGGAGCTGAAATTCAGTCTGGTGTTGTCTACCTGAAATAGAGAAGAAATGCAGACGTTAAGCAGTCCCAGACAGAAAGGGTGACAGGCCTGCTCCAGAAGCGCAGCCCGCACCCGCTCCCCAGGGACTTGGAAAACAGCAGCGGAGGGACAGAGGCCCGGGGGCCGGGACGCCTGTCCTTTTCATCTCCTCCCTTCCTGAGACACAAACAAGGAAGCTGATAGCCCAGCCTGCTCCTGTAGGCTTCTTCCCCAAACCCACACACCAGAAAGCCTCTGGTAGCGCATGAAAGGCACGGTCTTAAACATTCCCAGGGGCCCCCCTCTAAATCCCAGTCGGAGGACAGGTCTAAGGTGAAGAACATGAAGCCTCTGGCACAGCCGGGCCACAGGGACGAAGGCTGGCCATGCTGGCTGCCGGCTCCACACTCCTGCGTGCTCCCCACAGGCCCCACGGCCAGCCACCGCCCTCCTCATCCTAGGCGTCACAATGACACCACCTGGCCATCCTACTGACCCACAATAAAGGCCATGCCCACCTGACCTCTAGTCATGGTGAGTCCATGCATCACTCAGTCAAGTGCGGCCCGTCAGGCCAGGCCACGGACTCTCGGGCAGGTATCCGGGATCCTCCGGCACAGCTCGAAGAGCTGAGGTGACACTATTTATCTAGCAGCCTGACAGACTTGAGTCAAGGCTCGAAAGTGACCCCGTGGACCCTGGGAAAACACATTTAAGAAAGATGCCTGGTGGAGAGTCTTGTGGATATTTTCACACTGTCCCAGGCCTGTCCTTGGAGTCAAAGCTTGGAAAACTGAGGGGGGGACCTTGTGTTTCAGCTGGAAATGCTCATGCCTACAGCTCCCTCCTAGGACTTGCTGCTCACCCTCAGAGCTGGGTCACAGCGGCGGCAGAATCCTGCCTGGCGAAGGTGCTAGGCCCTCCCACCCCCAGTGTGCAGGGCCCAGTTTACCTCCATTTGCACATTCATGTCAATATTCCTTATCTATCAATGTGACTACTCTCTGGAGACCAGGGAGAGACTGTCCCTGCACAGTGTATGCATGAAAACTCCAAATGAAACGTGGCAAATGTTAAATACAGACTTACATTTTCAGCAAAAGCAACATAAGCTGGTCATAAAGATTACTCAGAAAATGTGGCTCTTTACAAAAAGAGTAAGATCTTGCCTAGATCATATCCAAGCAAGGTAACTTCTTTCAAATCCTATTTAACTCAAGGTGTCTGCGGAAAATCGCGATGCGCTTGGCTCAGCTCCCCGCAGTGAGGGCTCCCACGACCCGCCAGGACGTGGTCTGGCTAGGCCAGGCAGCGCAGCCGTGAGGCAGCTGAGCCAACCTGTCAGCCCTCTGCCGAGCGAGGCCACTCCCGAGTTTACTCACGGGCTGCAGGTGGAAGAGCCACGTAAGACACTTGCCCAAGTAGTCTCTTTAGTGGTTAAGGAGGCTTAAAGACTTTGTCTTCTGGGTTTTCTTTTTCAACCTAATTACCCCTAGGCTGGCAGTCACCTCTGGCCGTGCCCCAAGAAGTGCACAGCCCTGCTCAAAACACGAGCAATGCCAAGAGATGGCGGCCAGTGAACTGTCCCTGTGTGTCCCCACCTCGTTTCAGGAGCTCTGCCATTTGGCCAGGAGCACGCGGTGGTTAAAACCTCAGTTCTGCCGGTTACATGCCCTGAATTTACCTTTGAAAAACTGTAAGTGGCTGAGAGAGCTGTGGGGGCTGGTGAGTAAGTCCACATTCAAGCACTTCCCATCCTTCAAGCTCTTTAATGCCCCCATCAGAGCACCCCGTCCGCTTCTCCACACTGAAATAACAGCCTCCCCAGGCCCAACTCTGAGCTCTGCACCCTGACCTCCACAGCTGCCCTTTCTCTGACCAGCGCCATGGCCGGCCTGAGGGTCTGCCCGAGCCCCGCACCACAATGGGCTCTCCCAGGGCCCACACAGACATAAATGGATGGAGAGGGAGAGCTGAGTCCCATTGACAATTAACACTGGCTTTCATTTCTCTTTGACCCAGGGGTCATTTAGAAATGCATAACTTAACTTTCCATATATCTGGCCACTTTCCCGAGGACTCTTACTGATTTCTAATTTAATTCTGCCATGGTCAGAGAACTACTTTGTATGCTTAAATACATCAGGTGGTGAAAAAATGTTCAATATCACTTGTAATCAGGGAGATGCAAATTAAAACCACAAAGAGATACCACCTCACCCCAGTGAGAATGGCACATCTTCAAACAACTGGCAACAACACATGTTGGCGAGGATGTGGAGAAAAAGGAACTCTCCTGCACTGCTGGTGGGAATGCAAACTAGTACAACCACTATGGAAAACTGTCTGGAGGTTCCTCAAACTGCTAAACATGGAGCTTCCCTACGACCCAGCAATCCCACTCCTAGGTATCTACCCAAAAGACACAAAAACACTGATTGAAAAAGATACTTGTACCCCCATGTTTATTGCTGCTTTATTTACAATTGGAAAAACATGGAAGCAGCCCAAATGCCCAAAAGTAGATGACTGGATTAGAAAGATGTGGTACATATATACAATGGCATATTACTCAGCAACCAAAAAAAGAAACACCTGCCTTTTACAGCAACATGGATGGAGCTGGAAGGGATCGTGCTTAGTGAGATAAGCCAGAAAGAAAAGGAAAAATGCCAGGTGGTTTCACTCATAGCAGGAGTGTAAAGGACCAGGCAAGAAAATAATATGAACAACTATATACCAGAGACATTTTATGGGGAACAGTGGGGAATGGGATCAAAAATGGGGGTGGGGGTTGGGGGGAGGGAAATGCACTGGACTATGGTGATGGCTCCTGGGTGTTTGGTGATGGGAAGCCCATGGGGATGACAACTGAGATGGAAAAATGCACAAAATCATGTAAAAAAAAATAAAAGTTTGAAATATAAAAAAGAAAAATACATCAGGTGGAGCTTGGCAGGGCCCTAGATGGAGCTCCTGTGGGCCCCAGTCCTGCAGCCCCTTCTCCTCATTCCACCGACTTGCCCTGGGGCCCTGCCAGCGTGACCACCAGGAAACTCTCGGGGAACCTGCAGTTTCCCCATCTCTCAGAGATCCTGGCCTTTGTGAGCCAACATCTAGCTCTGTGCATACTACTCCCACGTGATCTGTTTTGGGGAGGCCGAGGGCATGTGCAAGTCAGGCCCCTCATTTATGTGGGCCAGGAGCAGGGTTCCTCAGGTTTAATTTGTTGTACGGCCCATGGAACCCACAAAGGCGAGAGCTCTGTGTGTCAGCAATCCTCTGGGAGGGTGCAGGAGGCTTGGAGGGCCGAAGGGTGCGGCTTGGAGCGGAGGAGCACCCCGAGCTCAGAGCTGCCCTGGCCCCCGAGTGCGCAGGCCCCACAGGGCAGGCAAGTCACTTGAGATGCTTCAGCTCCGGCTGGCCAGACTCACCTACTCTGCCAGAATCGCACCCTACTTCCCCGTTCTGCTTAAGAGCCACGAGAAAGCAAAACAACGGCCACGAAGGGATCCTGCCTCGCCACCCACAGCGCTCCTGGCCTGCGTCTCGGCAAGCGCACTGACCATCCCCCCTGACCCCAAAAGACAGGCATCCACCTGACCCCTGCCTCACCGCCCTCCCAAGCTGCGGCTCACCGCCTGGCTCCGCCCCAGGTGAGGCCTGCCTCCGGCCAGCACAGCCTCACTTCACTCAGGTCTCTGGCCAGCTGGCGGCCCTCCCTCAGGGAGGCCCCTCCCACCACTCACTCCTGACAGCTGGGCCTCGTGTTTCTTCACAGCAGGTTATCGCTCGCTACTGCTGACGCACTTGCCCTTAGAATGTGGCCTCCGCGTGGGCAGAGACTTGGTCCGTCTCTGGCATGCTCCCAGGGCTGCGAAGTTGAGGTGCAATAACTGGTGTGGACAGCCTCTGGGGGAGTTTCTGTACTGTTTCTTGCTACCTCACAATTCATTTTCTTCTCAACAGATATCACGATCTTTCCAAATGGATGCAAAATCACATGACGCACCTCACCGGGAACCCCACTGCTCTCAGACACTCGGCACCAGGCCCGCCTCCCTGCTCCACCGGGGCTGCCCAGGGGCACCTCCTTTGTGTCAGCTCTGTGGGGGCTCTGCTTTTGGTGCTCTCTGCCTGGAGTACTCCGCCAGCTCTCTTAAGAACTGTCTTTTCTGTTTTTATCTTATGCATCCATGACTCATCTCAAGTGTCAACTCTCAAGAAAAGCCTTTTTGGACTTATCTAACGCATCCGTAACTTCTATCAAATTATTGTTTTGTTTTCACTATAGCATTGCTACCTGACATTGTGTTATTATAATCTCCTGATTTATGTTGTTACCTGTATTAGAGTGTAAGTTCCAGGAGAAGAGAAATCTGCCTCTTACCCACTGTTTATCCTCCCTTCCTAGGTTATCAGCTGCATATAGATGCTAAGTAAATATTCACCGAATTAATGAAAACCAAACAAAAGAATAAAGGGACATACTTAGTTATGCTAAAATGCCCTGCTACAACTCAAGCCCAGACTGCTAGAAAAAGCATTAGTTTCCTCATTTAAATTTCAGAACAAGCCTGAAAGGCTTTTTAAAGAAGGCAGATACTGAGGTTTACTATAGAATTAAATGAATTCATTTAACATGGCCTACTGAGTAAATTCACACTTAAAACAGACATGTAGGCCCTCCCTGGTGGCGCAGCGGGTTAAAGCACAGCACTAGAAGCTGAAGCCACTTCCGTGTGAGTTTGATCCCCGCCTGCCCCGTAGGTGACCACAGGGCGCGGCAGACCTCTCCTGACCCGCCCGCTGCTCCCCTCAGCAGTGTGCTTCATTGATCTGCCTGTTCTGCTCCCCGCTCTGTCCCTGGTGAATCCTCTCAACCTCCGCATCTCTGGCCTGTACCCCAGTTCTGTATGAATAAATAAATTAAAAAAAAAAAAACAGACATGTAAAGAGTGAATAACAGATTATCGGTGTATGTTTTGCCTGTATTGAACCCACATTTGTCGCAGTGTGCTGCAACTGTCACTAGCATTCTCTTAGCGATTTAAGCTCCTTTTTCTCCAAGCAAATTTTCTGGTTCCCTATATTTTGCAGGTCTTATCTTTGGCAGTTTGTGATATTCTCTACTTCCTGCCTGAAGAAACATCACCTCTGCTCCCCAGGTGATGGGGAGGCTCACGTGGAGCTTAGCTTTCCAGCCACCAAAGCACCCGCTTGTCTTCTGCTCTAGTGAGGCGGAGGCTGTCAAACCTGCTCGCAGCCCCCGTGTCTTCCACCCCCCAGAGAAATGCCGCTGAATCTGCCCCTTCAAAACTTCAGGACTAAACAAAAAACAAAATTGTCTTAGCACAACTCAAATACCAACAAGCACTCAGAAACCACCGATGTCTGTCAGGCGTGTCCGGTGACATTCAGGCTGAAACGAAAGCCGGGCGAGAGGAAGTGCCAGGGCAGAGTGCTGCGGCCGGGCAGGCGCCCGCCACACGGCACACAGCGAGGGGCGAGGCGGACAGTGAACTCCCTGGGGGACACACCTGCAAGCTGTGCTGAAGGCCTGAGACAGGAGGAGTGAGGAGAGTTCGCATCACAGATGCCTGAAGAGCAACCGGTTAATATTCCCAAGTGCTCAGTGATAAGCTAAAAGTAGAATGTTAGTTTCTATCAAAAAACAGGCGCAGGGTTACAGGAAAGGTCAGTGCATGAGTAAATGTGCGACTAAAGTGCAGTCTCCGTGGTACTAACAAAGTGCATCAAACATTAATATCAAAATTAGTTTAAAAGTTAGTTAAGAAGGAAAGCTGCAAGTCAGGTCCTGGTAAATATCACCAACTTACGGTATTTACTGTGAATTTCATCTATTTCTTTTTCAGTTTGGGCTTTTGTGAAAACCATTACCTAAAATGCAAAAAACAAACCTTAATTAAAATTAAATAAAAGAATAGAAGTTAGTACCACAGACTTTAAAATTTCAAATGTGGGTGTCTAAAAGAAAAAGACTCATTTCTGTTTTATGTAGGTCCTTCCTTAGACATCACAATGTACGTTTTTACTCTTTACTTCTTCCTCTCAGTAGGAAACGCTACGATGATCTCACCGAATCTACGAAGAAGGCGGTCAATTCGCTCTCCTAGTTTCTGTATTTGATTTTTAGTCACTAGCACTATCTGCACTGTCGGGCCCAGGACGCACGACCAGCGCCGGAGGAGGCAGACGCCCCGGGCCTGGCTTTCCGCCTAGTGTTTCCAGGTCCTCCACAGGGCAATACAGAGGTTAACTGGATACTACAGTGACACAAGACTCACTGTGGTACATCTAAAATCTTAGGCTTAAATGATCAGAAATCTACTTACATAGTACATCAGTCTCTACAGTCAGCACACAGGTAGTAATAAAGTCACGAAAAAAATACCATCTTTTCCTACTATCTGGTTATAAACTTACTTCCCTAAGGTCGTTGCCTTCCTTACACACATATTAGCAGATGATCTAGAAAAAAGTCTACTTGGGAGGGCCCAACACATTCCTCCAGTGTCACAGGACACAGCGTCTACTTTCTTCTTTGGTATTCTTTCCTCAAGTTTTGGCCATGCAGGCCAGAGGAAGGCAATAGTGAAGAAGTTTAGGTCCCGGAGCCCGTCAGTAAGCCCAACAGTCGGTCCGCACAAACTCGTAGTTCCTTGACTTCCCCACAGACGTCACAGAACTGCAGAAGGGCGGGGCTAAGAGGGGTCGTCGGGACCATGTGGTCAAGCCCGAGGCTGACAGCGGATCCTGGGGCCACAGAGGTGCAACAGTTTATCCTACGCACCCCACAGAGAAAGGCCAGCGTCAACGCTGCCTGATGCACAGCGGTGATTTTCCCACACGGCTATAATGGTCTAATAAACACCGCTGTAAATGCACTTTGTGCTAGAAGACCATTTAAGAGAATAGTACGTGTGCCAAAAACAGGCGCAAGTAAATCAAAATACATTACATGGATATGTGTCATACTGCCCGGAGATTTAACACGAGCTCCTGTAATTTTAGTAGAGTATCAAACTTTTCTCTGCTTTATGTGCACCCCAGAATCTGAAACAAGCCGTTCACATACGCTTTCTTTGAGTTTACTAGCTTCCAGACGCAGCCGGGTCTTCTCCATATTTTCAATTTCTTGAACTATTTCAGCAGCTGTTAAAACAAGGACAGAAAGCCAGCGTTAACTCTCTGGTCTCCATGAAAGCATTCTTTCCACCCGCACGGGGAATTCTGGGCTCACTCCCCCAACTCGCACGCGCCACCGTCTGCCACGCACGCGGAAGGCGCAGACCCCAAGCACCGCTGGCAGGAGCACACGCTTCTGGGCGTCCCGGGAGCGAGGGGCCCTCGGGCAGCAAGTGCGGGCGCTGAGGCTCCGCGGGCGACAGAGGCAACGCCGGGGGGCAGAGCAAAGGGCCAAGCAAAGAGGGAGCCGAGATCACAGGGTACCGGTGTGTGTGGGGGGGGTGTCTCGTCAACTAGAGGCAGGAAAAACACAACCCGAGAAATAAAAGCGGATGGCAGACGCTGGCACCGGGACGACTCGGAGGTACGCGCGCGCCGCCCGCCCAAAGCCGCGTCACCAGCACCCCGGCAGGGCAGGGCGGCGCGAGAGCAGACGGCTCTGTGCACGCGGGTCAAGGCCGCAGCTGTCCCCGCCGGAGGTCGACCTCGTCAAAGTGGCTGCATTTACCCCTCGCTCACACTCAAAGGGGAACTGAACTGCCACCGCCACAGCACAATGAGAAACGAGGCACAGGAAGCCTGCACTTCGCGCAAGTCCAGGGAAGGGAGGCGAAAGGCGCTGTGAGCACGGCACCTGGCCCCCGCCCGCGCCCCGGCCCAGGGCGCGCAGGCCGCCAGCCGGCACCCGTCTGTTCCCGGCGGAGCGTCGCGGAGGCAGGTCCGGAGGGACCCGACGGGGCCGCAGGCTCCGAACACCCTGCTGACGCCGCCAGGAGGAAGGGCCGGCTGGAGGGAAGGACGGCGCAGCGGGGCGCCCTGGGCCCTGCTGCAGAGCGCGGGAGGCCTCGGTGCGTGCGTGGCGTGTGCGTGTACCGAGAGCCGCCCGCTCGGGAGCCTGGAAGCAAAGGCGCCGAGCAGTGGTGCGTGTAACTGGTACTGGATCTCGGTTCCTCCAAGGAAAAGAAGCAAAGCACCTAGGGAAACGCTGATCCCAGAGTTGGGCCTGAGGAGTCTGCACGAGCCTATGAGGCTAGGAGTAAGGAAAGGGTCAGAAATACACACGATAACAGGGCCCTTTGGCGGCGCAGGGGTCAGACAGCGCTATCAAGCTATCGCAGCCGCTGCAGCGCAAGTTCCATCCCCAGTGGGCCAGGAGGGACCCACGGGCGCAGCAGACCTCTCCTGCCCCCACCGCTGCTCCCTCAGCAGCGGGTTTCAGTCCATCCACCTATCATGCTCCCACTCTGTCTGGTGAATTCCTTACCACCCCGACACCTGTGGCCTACACCCAGGCTCTTGTGTGCATAAATAAATAAATCTTAAAAAAAAAAAACTTCAAATTAAAGGCTATAAAGCTTACTGACAGAAATGAAGAGAAATAACTAAAGAAGCCAAGTTGATGGATTGGTGACTCAAACACTATACAGATATCAGCATCCCCAACCCGTGGATATAACATAACCTCAATAGAAATCAAGGTTTTGATCCCTAGAATACACAGCTGACTCTAAAATTACAGGACACGGTAAGGGCCTGGGAACGCCACGAGAACAGCAGCAAGCGGGAACTGCACTGGCAGCCGGCAGATCCACTACGGGTCTCTGACGCGCGTGAACAGCAGATGCGGGCACTGGACAGAGCAAGCCGGAGGGCAGCACAGTGCCAGGGCCTCAGGCACTAGGTTGGGTGCTTCTCAGTAGGGCAACTGGGTGAGAAAAGGGCAGGCTTTCAACAGACGGTGCTGCGGCCCCACAGCTGTCTGTATGGAAAACAACAGGAGTTCGCCCCTACTTCAAAACATGTGATAAATTCATTCTAGATAGATAGGTTGAAATGTAAAAGCAAAATCAATAAAACTTCTCCAAAAAAAGAAAAAAGGAGAAACATCCTTACTGTGCTGTGCAATGACATAAAAAGGATATAAAAAGTACCAACTGAAAGAAAATGGCAAGACTGGATGCCATTAAAATTAAAAACTTCTACTTCTCAAATGAAGCCATTAAGAGGTAAAATCGAGCAAGACTTCATCCAGAAAATTTCATGTACTCCCACAAATAAGTAACACTAAATCCACAGCATAGAAAAATTAGGCTTAAATGGGACGTCACCAGAGAGGATTCCAGACGGCCGAGAGCACACGTAAAATGTGCCGCACACTCCCAGCCACCAGGGAAGCCCAAGTGACACGTTGATGAGCTCCGGCCATGGGCCTGCTGGGGCGGCCGAAATGAGAAACTCACAATGCTGACTGCGTCAAGGGTGCAATAAAACTGGAACATCCACACCCTCCAGATGAGAGTGTACCTTGGCACTGAAAATTTGGCCATCCCTATGAAAGCCGAACATCTGCAAAAATATAACAACTCCATTCCTAAATTCATACATCTAAATAACATCTGTGCCTGTGTGTATCAAGAGACATGGGAAAGATTATTCAGAGCAGCATTATTCTTAAGAGGCAGAGTAGTGGAAAAAGCCAAATGTCCATGATGCACTGAATGGGTAAATAGTGTGAAATATTTATTTATATTCTACAGCCACAAAAAAGAAAAAACACAACTGTATACAAAATCATGGATAAATATTATAAGCATGTTACACAGATGCAACTCAAAAGAACACCTTGCTTTTTTTTTTTTTTAAAGATTTTTTTATTTATTCACACAGAACTGGGGTATAGGCCAGAGATGCGGAGGGTGAGAGGATTCACCAGGGACAGAGTGGGGAGCAGAACAGGCAGATCGACAAAGTACACTGCTGAGGGGAGCCGCGGGCGGGTCAGGAGAGGTCTGCCGCGCCATGGGGTCACCTCCGGGGCAGGCGGGAATCGAACTCATGCGGAAGTGGCTTAAGCTTCTCAGTGCTGCGCTCTAACCCGCTGCGCCACCAGGGAGGGCCAGAACACCTAGCTTTTTACTATCTCACTTGTATAAACAATAATACAAAGGCAGTATCTGCTAGTGAAGTCTAGATGGTGGCCAGCTGTCAGAATGAAGCCGAGTGGCTGGGAGAAGGATGCAGGCTTTGAGGATGCTGCCACCGATTTTAAGGACAAACTGTTAGACAGTGTGCTGCCAAGATAACACTTTCATAAAACGAGAATGATCACGGATCCGTCTGTGTAGTGATCCTAACAGTGACATTTACTGAATGCTAACCACTTGCTATGGTTCTCTGCCAGGTACTTGAAATGCATCTTATCACTTATCTCTCTCAAAAGCATTGGAAGGAGGTTGTATTACAGCTTTTATTTTACAGATGAGAACACTGAGGTACGGAGAGATTAAGTAGCTTGTCCAAAGTCAGTCGATCAGAAACCCGCACAACTGGATCCTACCCAAGGCTCTCCGAGCCAGCGCTTCACCCCACACTATCTCTGGCAGGCACAGGAACGCCAGCAGGGGCTGCCCCGAGAAAAGAATGGGAACAGAGAGGTGGCCGCGAGGAAGGCTGGCTTTCCAGGGTGCTCTAGGACCTGCGGAAGCCTGGCGCCTCTCACCGACAACCAAAACTGCATTTACTAAACTGCTTTTCGCCAGGCTTATTATCCCCAAGCAGCACACAGCCGCCTTATCAGACGAAAAGCACAGCCCCTCCCATCACTCACCTGATTTCGGGTGCAGAGCGTCGCACTGGGCGTTGTACATGTGCACAAACTCTTGGTGCCTTTTAATGAGCTGCTGCTTACTTCCTTGAACAGATAACCCGTGCTGTTTAAGCTTTTTTTTTAAATCGCGATCCGAGAGCAAGTTATATACAGTTTTGGGCAGTGGCTTCCTTTTGTGAACAGAACTAAAAAGGGAAAAGATCAGAGGGTGACTGTGAATTATCAAATGCTTTCCACGCAACAGTAATTCATCTTCTGACTCAGTGCGAAGGAGACTGGGAAACAGCAGAGCCATTAAGATAAAAAATGGGAAGGAGAAGAAGGATCCACTTCACGAGTGACGCTGTCAGTGCCAACACGGCACGAGACGGAGCCGCCGAGGCGGCGGCCCAGGGGAGCGGCCCGGACTCGCAGGAAGGGCACGCACTGCACCCTGGCACTCCGTCTAGACTCACACTTACTAGACTTTACTTTTCCAAAATGTGCTCGTGGCGCTCACGCAGAATCTCTGGGAGAAGAGCTGTCTCGGAGGGTCAGGCCACCACGCCCGAGAGCTCCGTGTGGGCTGGTGACGCCACCCCAGTCTCTTCGGAAGTTCTGCCCTGAGCACGAGGCCATCGGTTAGCGCGGGTGAAACAGAAGGCCCGGCCCGCTGCAGGGAGGCTGGCTCCCCCACGCCAGGGCCCGGCGGCAGCCGGGAAGCCACAGGCGCGCACCCCTCCGCGTCAGCGCCCAAGAACACAGCTGAAAACAACCGCACAAATACCAGAGATTTGTTCGCTTCCATTTCCGTTAATCTTATTAATATGCGAGGCATTTCAATAAATCTATTAGCAAAGTCACCGCTTGGCTCTTCATGCTACATAACTAACACGCGCACAAGCACTAAATTATACGGCCAAAAATAACGAAGCCCCGTGACATGGCTTTCCTGGACTCCTGCTTTTTAAAAGGAAAAGGCAAATAAACATTTTGTATTAAAACAGAATCGAATCCAGGAATCGAATCTAAGGATAGCAACGGCTTGAGACAGCTCCGTCACAGCGACTCCTTGGAGAGTTCATCTATCTCGTCTGATGTATCACACAGTTGAGTACAGGGCCGGACTCAGGGCTACGGCAAGATGTGCTTAAGGTTGTCACTACAAGCACAGCGTAAAATGAATTTATGAGAAACGTGACTATCAAAGGTTCCAGTGAAATGTATAGGAACTTAAAAAGTAGCAAGCAGCTTTGTCCAAAAACGAGGATTTGCAAAAGACTCACGTACAACCAGTTCACGCAAGGTGAGGCCGCCTGAACTTCAGCCCACCTGGCAAGCTTAGTAAATGCTGGTTCTCGGCCCCTGCTCCCCATCAGCCCACAATCCCCGAGTCACCCCTGACGCTGAGACCCTGAAAGCGGCCGACACGCTCCGCAGGCACACAGGGCGCCAGTGGCCGGGGGCCGCAGCCCTCCAGACTGACCGGCAGGACCACCGCCTGGCTTCATCACTTTTTTGGCACTTTATCAATTAGGCTAAAAGCCAGAGAAAAAGACCTGCAAACCTTCAACAGATTACATTTTTCTGAAAAATTGCTCTTATAGCCCATTAGATTCTCAGGCTGATAAAATCATGGCAAAATAAAATCACAGTAGGCAGCAAGAACTGAAACATTTCACAGTTTATGCAAGTAGACAGGAGTGGGGGGCAGCTCATTAAGGCTGGATCTAAAACATTTATTTTATCAAGGCTAGATGATTAAACTTACGACTAAGGAAGAATTCCAATGGCATCTCAACTATCCAGTGACATTTATAATGAAAAGAACCACTAGCAACTGACAATTTCCATCAAGAAATCTCAGCTGTGAAGGCTAATAAGCGTGCACTGCGTGAGAACATGACACTGACCTTTCTCCCATGGTTTACTGAGGCTGAGTAACGCACCCACAGGCCCTTCACAAGGAAGCCCGTTCCCCGCATCTGGTGGGAAGGCATGTGGAGGGTGTGAGGTCTGTCCGCCACCGGTCAGCCAGCGAGTGGTGGAGAGCATTCCTGATGCACTGCAGACTGCCATACAGGCTCCAAACCCGTAGCCAATGAGAAACATGGCTTCAGGCTTCCCTAGTGCAGCTGCGCGAACACTAGTTTTGCAAGAAATGAGTTAAGAGAACAAAAAAATTGGGGGATCAAATAAAACACCACTGGGTTAAATGAAATGCAGCAGCTGCCAGATCAGGGCGTGGGGAGCCCCCCGCGGGCCGCCTGCGCGGGGCACTCTGACGCGGCCCCAAAGGCACGGGCAGGCTGC